GAAGGAAGGAAGGAAGGAAGGAAGAAGGGTGGAAGGAAAAAAGGAAGGAAGGGAAGGAGGGAGGGAGGGGGGAGGAAGGGAGGGAGGGAGGGAGGGAGGGAGGGAGGGAGGGAGGGAGGGAGGGAGGGAGGGAGGAAGAAGGCATTCAGGGTACCTGTGATCAACTTTTGGCAGGAGAGCTGTTTGCTCATTTTTATCAGGAGGAAGGAGGAGAAGGCCGGTGCAAATGCAAGCCGTTTGTGGATGTGGAGGTAGGAAGGTAAGGTGCTTCTTAATGGATGTCTTCAGCTTTCTCTCCGCAGCATTATGCAGCAGTCATTGCTGAGAGTGGGTGGGAGATGTGTGGGAGTGTGTGTCGTTCTTTAGAGGAGAGTGAAAAGGTATGAAGTTGCAGAAAATGAGAGCAAGCTCTCTGGAGAAGCTGAGTAAGTGTGCAAGGCTGTGCTGAGGGTGCGGCTGAGGGCTCAGCTGAGTGCACAGTAATTCCACTGCACTGGTTGTGGAATTTTCTCAGTAGGCTCATCTCCTCAGTGTGGTCAAGGCAAAGCAAATGTGGAGGCTCGACCTCGGTTCAGGCTCCCCAGGAAGAGAGAGGAGTGAGGGTGTGAAGACATTTGTAAAAAAAAAGTTTAGATTCTCTCAAGAGCACATTGAACTTATGAGTTAAAGCTTTACCTCGTGGGTGAAAATGACAGGAAGCAATGAAGTGTTTTCCCCATCCTCACCAAAGCTTTCTCTACATCACTCCCTGCCCAGCCCCATGACACATATTTCTTTCCCATGGGGTACATTTGTAATGGGCTTTTAAAAAATGACTTATGAAAAGACAATTTACATAAGAACTAATGCAATTTGATAACAAAAATGTGAAAAATGCATCAGCCTCACTAACAAAAAAATAAAACATATTTTCTAAAATACAACTAGCTTTGTTTGTTTCTTAAAAAGGAGGTGTGTTGTTTTTACATGTCCAGCCTCCCTCTCCCCATTTTACAACTGACAACCGACTCTGCTTCCCCATCCGTAGATGGGAGGGCTTCCACGTCCCATCTGGTGAGGAGAAACTTCGCCAGGAACACCCTCTGTCCTTCCTCCTACCACCTTCCTCTCCTCCTTACGCAGGGGAATGAGGGGCTTATCTGATAAAACTGAGCTTTCCCACTTTAGACTCTTTTTCTCCTTTGCCTGTTTTTATGAACCAACCTACCTGCTCTCTGTCTCAAGGCCGGGTGGCTCAGCTGGTTGGAGCAGCCTCCAGTACACCAAAAGGCTGTGAGTTTGAATCTCAGTCAGGGCACAGTCCTAGGTTGCAGTCCGGTGCATATGGGAGTTAACTGATGTTTCTCTCTCACTCTTCCTCCCTTCTTCTCTCTCTCCAAAATCAATTTTTAAAAGAACATATCCTTGGGTGAGGATGAACAATAAAATAAATAATACAATGTATTTTCTCCATAAGGCATATCACAGCCTTCTTGCACTTGGGAACACCAGCCAGCACTTCAGCACCAAGCATCAGGGACATTTCAAGCAGCAAAATCAACAAAAAGCACAAAAATGTAAAAAATGTGGCATTAAGTAGACTGCAAAACAGACAATTGTTCACAGCGTGAGAGCTGAAATGAGAATGCAGAGCCTTGCCTCCATCACCCTCAGCTGGGAGCAGGCACATTGGGCAACTCAATGTTTTTCTCTGCTCTGTACATGTCCATGAATCACCGCAAAGTGCTGCAAACATTGATTTGGGAGGTACAAATAAATTTAATGAGCAGGCAAATCCACAAATACAGAATTCACAAATAAGGAGGATTCCTTTTTTTATACTTTCTGCAATTTATTAAGACTTCTGTATCAATCCACACAAACATTTCCTCCAACTGCTGTCCGGTGGAGTTGGACTAGCTACCTGGATTTTTGTGGGTCCAGCTAAAGGAAAGTTCAGAATGTTTTATTCATCCCAGTTATCAATAAAAAAATTTCAATTAAACATACTAGGAGATTGGATAACCTTTCTATTTTATTCATGAAAAATTATCTTTAAAAGTCATTAGCATATGAGAAGAAAAATCAAGAGTATGAAGCTAAAATATAGAAAGAAAGTACTATAGAGATGTGTCAAGCAGTTAATTAATATTACATTGTTTTCTGGATTCTGTGATGTTTGTGATACTTGTATTTTTAAATTATAATTTGTTGAGAATTCTTTTCTAATTCTAAATAAGTATTTTCATAACCACTTTCATATGCTGTTTCTTAAAGAAGATCTACAGAGTTGTATAATCCTAAGGTTCCACAAAACCTGAATCCATTTCTGATGTGAAAGATCCCCTTTAAAAAGTACCTTCACTGCAATGTCTCTAGAAGGGTAAGTAGAAAGGATTCTAATACCTTTATCTCCTGCAACCTTTATTCTGCAAACAGGTTATGAAATGACATATCAGAGAAGTCACCACCCGTGGCCCAGCAGTGAACCAGACGCAGACAGAGACTTCAGCAAAACTAATGCAGGTGGTATCACGGGTCTCCAGCCAGGTGCTTGCCCTGAGGACCCAGCATTCCAAACTAACACCACTCTGTGCTTTACTCCCTCTAAACAATCTGGAAGGTAATTTTACGACTGATTTTTTTAAAAAAGGAATAAGCCCACTTCTTTGAAATATGCTCTCTGCATGAAAAAAAAATGAGCCACAGTTTCCTAAAAGCTGCTATTTACATAGACAAGTAGGTAAGTGGCTGGCTGGCTGAATGGATGGATAGATAGATGGTTGGATGGATAAATTATAGACAGATAGATGATGATAGATGATAGATAGATAGATAGATAGATAGATAGATAGATAGATAGATAGATAGATAGATAGATGATAGATAGATAGACACTAGAGAGAACTTGGACAGATGTTGAATGTCTTTATCCTATATGGAAATCAACATTTTTCCAAGTATGTCCTGATTCCACAGCCTTTCTGACTGCACTCTGTGTGCCTGAAATACTCCACCTGCATTACCCAATTTTAGGGGCAAGAGAAATGCCTTTATATGCTGTGGGAATACAAACAATTGCTATAAACCTTTACTTGCTCCATTAAGTTACAAAAAACCTACAGGACTGAGTGACAGCCCCACAATTTATTGTCATCTACTCATACAAGTAAAAGCTTTCTAAGAAGACAGGTGAAAATATTTCTTGGGAGGAGGATGGATGGGGAGAAGTGAAGCGCAAGGGGAAATGACAATGGCTAGAGAAATAACTTCCTCTGAGGAGGAGTGGTGAATACAGAACAGCAATGGCTAAGCTTGGAGAAGCCTCGGGAAGATGTTGGTTGATGAACCAACACGGGAGAGCAACCACTGTCAGCCTAACCGCAGACATCCGGGTCTCAGTGGATTCCATCTGAACTAAACACGAAGCCCCAGAAGGAATAGCTCAACCCTGTGTCATCATCCAGAGAATTTCTAGAGGCTGAAGCAGGACACAGCACAGAGCGAGCTGTTTCAGTGCCTTTTGATCCAGGATACTTTGGCTAAATCAACTACTGTGTGGCCACAGAATCAGTTGTTCTTTCTACTCTCTGGTCTACTTGGCACCTTCCTATCAGTAACTAAGGAAAAATCAGAAAAGGTGACGAGGTCTATCTATAAATATGATTCCACCCCAGGATGAATTGTAGCAGAGCTCTCATCACCTCTGTGCTCAAAAGCACATGGACCAGGGTTCCCAGAACCTGGAGAGTATGGTGGAGATAGGACCACCATGAGAAGAGCAGTGAACTTTCATTAAGGAACATTGTCAGCACAACTTGACCTCACAGGGAGGGAGCCAGCTTTCTTCTCTTCTCTCTGCTCAGTCTCCCTCAGGGGCTCCCCATTGACTAGATCCAGGCAGAAGCCAGCAGGTGAGGGAGCATACTCATGTAATTCATGCTGTGGGCCTTGTCGGGCACAGAGTAGATACAAAAAGGTAGAGGGTAGGTCTGAAGGAATAACTGATGACATTCAACACACTGGCCTCTATGACAAGCTACAAGAGAAGGCAGCCTAAGATTGAAGCTATCATCATAGAAGTCAGAAGACAGACACAGTACCTAGGTGACATGATAAGCAACCATGGAGTCTGCCCTATCACTGGACTTTCTGCTCTGTAAGACAACAAGTTTCCATGTAGGACAAGCCAGTTTGATTCATAGTGTAGCAGTGGGGAATAGTAGCCCACCCCACCATTCCATTGACATTGTTTCTGTAAACAGTGACTCTGACTAATATGTAACTTGTAGACAAATGGAATGTTTGTATAAGGATCCTAGGAACTAACTTCAGAAGGTACAGACTCTGACCATGTTAAAAATATATGTACAGTAAAGACTAAATAAATCATTTGCTTGGTTGACATAAATCTAAAAATGTTATCCACTAGATTACTTCATAATTTAGAATGCAATATCAGAAATTTCTGGGGAAAATTCAAAATTGCTCATTTACAAAGTGAAAATCTTGTTTAAATGCTCTTATTCAAACAAGTTCCTTTTTTTTGTGGGTTAAATCCATTTTTTAACTGAGTGCCAATTTGATTAGTGTCCCACTAAAATGTTCAAATTACCAGTTTTTTAGTGTAAATAGAACTATCCAGCAGTCATTCCTGCATTGCCAAAATCTCAGAGAAGTTGCTAAATGACAGACTATTAGCATAACTCATTTAATGTTTGAACTTGCCTGGGACTAAGATGTTCAAGTTTACAGACCCTAGAGTGGTAAGGACCAATAGAATTGATTGCTTACTCTAGGGGGCACTGTGCTAGACATCTTTTAGACATGTTCTCATTTAATTCTCACAAATCTGGAAAGTAGGCATTATTTTCAAATTTTACATATAACTTCTTAGAAATATTAAGTAGTACTTCACAGTTACCAAAATAATATTTTTTAACTGTCAAATATTTTGAAGTCATTATTATAAAGCTGTTAGGTTAAACCAGATATTTTACATTTGCTGAAGTCTGTGAAGGTTAGAGTTATGATTTACTTTATTTAGCATATTCGAGTGACAAACAAGGAAAAGAGATTCTGGTTAACCCAAGTAGAACTGAAACTTATTGGAAGGGTATGCAGAAGTTCACAGAATCAAGAGTGAACAACTGGACCATTGGAAGAATAAGAAATAAAAAAAAAATTTCAAGCATCTAAGCAACAGGAACTAATGGGCCATTTTCTTCAGGAAAACACCGTAGAGATGATCAACTCTGGTCAGTTGCTGTTGGTATGGCTCACAGTTTGAACTTCTGGAAGATTGAATTTATTTGGCCCATCTTGGATCACATGCCTTCCTATTTTGTTGGGGAAAGGCAGGGATTTTGATTATTAACACAAAATAGGGGAAGAGAAGTTCCTTAAGGGAAAAAGAAGGTGGTATTTTCAAAAGATGGAGGAGGGGATGCTGGGCTGGCAAAAAACACAAAATGTCCACAATAATACATGACAGAGCTGGAGTTCAACCCTCAAACTACTCCAAATATTTTGTTTTTAACCACCATCCTATATTTTTTTCAATCACTCGTTACTAAAATAATCTCAGGGGAGCAGAATGAGGTACATATATGATAATGATCACATAGGTCTTGTCACTGCTATATACAGTTTCAGCGATAATACCAGCACTCACGGCAAGGTCTTCAGGGGTCCAATGGCAGGCCTTGCTGGTGGCTTTGGCATCTTGTCTGTTGGTCTCCATTGCTCCACGGCCTACTTGTTAGGAAGCTCTGTTAGCCGCCAGACTGGTCTAGTTAAGCAAACCTGGGATTCCTGAGTTGTTTCAGTTGTCAGTTCAATTGCAGAAGTATATACTTCCTATTTCCAGCAGGCTGACCTCAGAAAGTTACCATTATTGCTTCTCTAATGTCATCCAGCAGTTTCATTCCGGTTTACTGTTTCAGTATCAGCTCTGGGAAACAAATGCCAACTTATAGTTTTTAAATTTCCAAGTTCTTTTCTAAAGGAAAGATTTATTTTTCCATAAAATTTTCATGGTTTTATGAATGCATAAAGAGGCAGCTTAGGTTATAAAAATCTTGCTTTTTAAGTTAAAAGTGTGTTTCACATCGTAAAGTAGCCACCTGAAAGTCCCTGTGATACGTTTAAATTCTCACCACTCAATATCTTTCTTCTTTGAAGTTGTAATGCGTATTGTTTTGAGATGCCTGCAGGCTTTATTGGAGCTATGAAACTAGGCTTCTTTTTTTCTCTTAAAATAGTATATGTGTTTTAGTCTAACTTGATTCTGGTGAGTAAAATCAAGCAACTAAGTATTATTAAAACAAAGGAAGGAAGGGAAGAAGGGAAGGAAAAAGGAAGGACAAAGAATCGAAAAAAGAAGAAAAGAAAAAAAGAAAAGAAATAATGTAAGAATAATTCTCACTACCATTTTCACTGAAAGTACAATCAGTATTTTTAAAAATTGTTTTCTTTAAGTAGAAATCAGGTAGAATAGGACCTTTCCATTTTGACAATCAAGATCAAAAGGAAAAAACAACAACAACTGGCCAGGTCACAGAAGAGTTAAAAAATCTAAAGTTCATTAGGAGTACTTGTAGGGAAAGGCAAATAATGTGGGATTCGGATTCCAGTGTGTGTTTAGATATTAACTACAAAGCAATAACTGCATGATCTTACGTAAGCAACTTAATGTCTATAACCTTTAATTCTTCATTTATAAATTAAGGCTGGTTGAAGTATGGAAAATAAGTGAAGTATGTAAAGAGTTACACACACAGTACCCATTCAATAATGATATCTTTATCTTACAAAGCCATTAATTTATCATCTTCATTACTCATTAAATAAAAAATGAGAGTATTTATACATAGCTTCCTGCCATAAACTGGAATTTAAATAACTCATGAATGTAATAAATAACTCAATAATTTGTTTTATTAGTGTTTGAGTCCAAAGGGCAAGAGTGGGCTCTATTTTTTTAAGAGACTATTTCTACCTGGTCTTTATTATAACTACTATCTACATGATTTAAAAAATAATAATAATAATGAGCAAACCAAGACTCAATTTTTTTAGAAGAAGAATGACTTAGTTCTTTAAAAAAAAAAACAACACGAAGTAATAGTAATTATATTATTTACTGGGCATCTGACTCAGTGGGAATAAGGTTTGTGAATCTGTTTCTAACAAGCTTCCAATAGGTGCTGATGCTACTGGTCCATGAACCACTCTTTGAGTAGCTGACTCTGAAAGGGTTCTGGGCATAGCAGTGTATCTGGTCTGAGTGCTCCCATATTACAGGGGACACAGATTGGATAAAAATGTCTCATAAACTCAGTCCCCATTCCACCCACCAACCCAATCTTATTTTTCATGTTTCTAAGTTAAAGCTCATTTCCTTCCTGCTGACGTGCTCTCTAAAGTCCACCTCCACCTGGTAAATTGCTACTTATCCTCTGAAATTTATCTCCAAAGCTAGGTCTTCTGGGGCTAGACCTGCCCAGTGCATGCAGGTGGCCAGATCCCTAAACAAACCTCTGTAGGCTGAATGGGACATTTCTGCTCCCACTGGATCCTCTGCCCATCCTTACTTGACTCAGCTGCTCAGTACCCATCACAGGGCCCTTGAGAGAACCTTGTCTCAGGCAGAATGCCCTTTTAGTTCTCTCATCAGGCACGTCCCCAGATTCTGCAGATCTTTAGGACACTAGTCCACCCAGACAAGAGGGGTTAATGGCTTTTTTGCCCTTGAACTTTAGCAAGATATTTTGAGTTCCTTGAGGGGAAGATGCTATAAAAAAAAATACAAGGTGATATACAAATACTGAAAACAGCACAGTAGCATTTAATAATAAGAGTTGTTTTCTTTACAAAAATATTTCTGTGCCACTGATCCTCATTTCCATCTGACAAGGGCAAAGGCAAACTCTGTGCCAGGAAGGTAAAATAAGTGAGTGAAGGCGGTCAGTTAGGGTCAGCATCCTGGCAAGCCCATGACTCATCTGAGCAGGGCTGTATCCAGCCACATTGGAATGGCACCTAGGCCTGCCAGATCTCCCAGATGCCAGAAACTCGGATTTTTACATGAAATCTCCCACATCCACAAATCCAATTTTTGGTTGATGCTGTTGTTTAAATACTGTGAAAGCCAAACCAAACAAATCTAAGGGCCAGATGCAGCTGGTTGGGGGAAGACAGAGGGGAACATGTGATTTTTTGCATTAGATTTAAAGTAACTCTGCCTTTAAGATAATTTTCACCTCCAGCCTGTTGAAATCAATCAGGGCCAAATGTATGCTTACCAGTGCCTGACATCGTCTGTGTTCAGCAACGGCTTCACTCTTCAGCTGGAACGTGGCAATAATGTCGAGCTTGCTCAAGGCGCTCTGAGTCCCCATACGTATAAACTCACACACACAGCCAGGAACACCCAGAAGCATCTGGAAAGTCTGATTTGGAGTATTGTTTTTCCTGGGCTTCTTTTCAGAAAAGAGCTGCCATGAAACATGAGGATTCAAGAGAGCTGGGTGAACACATCTGGCTCTGACCAATGTCTATATGGACCGAGCAGCATCTGCTTCTGCTTCTGTGGTGCAGCAACTTCTCAGGTCTGGCAGGTAATGGAAAGGGCTCTAGATATTTGGGTTTAGAATGCCAAGAAAACTATGAAAGTTGCCCAGGTAGAACAGCATGTGGGAAGGAGAAAATTATGAGTGTGTCAGCAAAACATTCCATATCACCTTTAACCAACAGTATCCTGCAAATCAAATTCTACACCCATAAAATATTATAAAAATATTATACTATGGTGCCAGTGCATTGTCTTTATTGCTCCCATCTTTGCATTCTCCATTCCCATTTTATCTTTTTTTTTTTTCAGATGGGAGAACAAGCACCAAGATATCTGAAATAATAGCTTCGTGTCTCATGTTTTATACACCTTGGAATCCTCCTTGCAACTCAGTAGAACTTCAATTAATATTTGTCGATTGAACAAATAGATGAATACAGTATTTTAAATCACAGAGGCTAGGACAATCACCTTTTCACTCTGTCCTATGTACTGGACAACAAATCAGAGGTGCCCACTTATTGCTCAGTTAACAGTGAATAACAACAAATAAACAAGAGGCTTACTAGCTTCTTCTGATGACTAATATGGGCAATGTAAAATTTCCACTATAACAAGTATTATGAGAACATACACTAGAAGGATTTGATCTAGTCGGAAATATCAGTGAAGGCTGCCTTGGAGAAGAGATAAAGGATTTATAGGATTGTTTATTAGGGGGGACAAGTGTAGAAAGAACATTCTGCACCAGGGGTCAGCAAAGTATGACCAATGGTTCAAATTCAGCTTATCACATGCTTTTATAAATAAAATTTGATCAGATCACAGCCACACCCATTTATTTACATATTGTTTAAGGCTGCCTTGGCACTAAGGTGGCAGATTCAAGTAGTTGGTTAGGACATATGCCATATGGTCTGCAAAGTCTAAAATATTTACCACTTTATCATTTAAAGAAAAATATTTTATTGGCCTGTATTCTAGGCAGAAGAAATAGGATATACAAAAAGCCCTGTGGCCAGAAAGAGGACAAAATGGGAACTACTTGAGAAGGCTTATATAATCAAAGTGGGGAGAGTAAGGTGAAAGATGGTGAGACATGGTAAACATGATGAGAGATGAAGGTAGAGAGATAGGCAGGCCCAAACCATTGAGATTTGTATTAAGTAGTTTTAGCTTTATCCTAGAAGAAATCTGAATTTTAGGCTTGATGAAGACAAGAAGGAGGTGGCAGAGTTGACATGGTTAGCTCATAAGAGAAGACCACTGAAGCCACACTATGAAGAATGGATTAAAGGAAGTCAAAATGGGATTCAAATACACACTTAGGAGACTGTTGAAGGAGACCAACATTTGGGGGTAGGAAAAGTACTTTAACAACTAAAATTTCAAAGACTTACCATAATAAAGAAGAATTCCATGCTCATGTCACAGGACAGTGTGGACTGACAGTTGACCATCAGTGTTCTCACCTTTCCAAGCAGCATTTGTGGGAAGAGGGCCAGGTTGTGGTGAAAGGTTTATATGGGCCAAGCCTGGAAGGGACACACATCCCTTCCACTTACATTCTTGGATAAAACTCAGTCAAATAACCACATCTAATTGCCAAGGAAAGTGGTCTAACTATATGCCCAGAAAGAAGAGAAAAGCCTGGATATTGATGAGCATCTTAATCTCTGAAAAAGCTGAGTCTGTGCTGTGCAAACAAGAAACAACGAGAGAGACTATCTCAGTGAGTTTCCCAGGGAGTGTCAGTGGGTGAATAGGAATGGAACCTTACAATGATACTTCTTCCTCCCAGGTCAGCAGTGTCTCAGGCCAACCAGTCCATCTCAGTGGAGCTTTTGTCCACAGTCCCACCCTTCTCCCTATCTTCATTTCAGTGCCCAAAGCCCACGCTGGGAGAGGGGCATGGAAAAAAGGGTCTCCTGTTTCTCCAAGTCAGATTAGGTAAACCCATTCTCAGCAAAAATTCTGGGTCCAGAGGAAGCCATTGACATCAAAGAATAGTCTTCGCAAGGGGCTCCTGGCCTAAGCCTTTATTGACTATGAAAAAGGATCAATATTGCTGCTGATTTTAAAAAGCAAATATCCACAGTAGAGTTGCTTCATTATAATATGGTTCATGTACCTATTCTTAGGTCAATCATATATATTACAGTATATAGCATATAGTATATATGAGCTTGATAGTATATTTTTGCCTTTAAACAGTATTTTTCAAACTGCAGGTCACTGTCCATTAGTGGGTCACAGATCAACTTACTGAATTACAGCCATCATTTAAAAAAATTAAAATAGAGATTTAAAAAACAAAACAAAAACAGAGCAGCCTGGCCAGTGTAGCTCGCTCAGTGGTTGAATGTCAGCCTATGAACCAGGAGGTCATGGTTCGATTCCCAGTCAGGGCACATGCCCAAGTTGTGGGGACATTCAAGAGGCAGCCAATCAATGATACTCATCATTGATATTTCTATCTTTCTCTTCCTCTACCTTTCCCTCTGAAATTAATAAAAATATATATTTTTATAAAAACATCAGAGCACATCACACACAGTAAGAAAACCTATTATTTAGTGAAACCTTTCTTCAGATACACCACATATACTGGATCACAATGAGAAATATGTGTTTCTTATTGTGGGTTTTGGTCAAAAAGCCTCTTAAGATAAATTGATATTCCTGTTACTAAATGCCATTCTTAAAGTAGAGTTTCCAGGTAGTTTTTTATCCATAGATAATCTATGCATTGCCTCTATTGTTCTGCTCTAATTTTTATGTTTGTTAAGATCAATGTTGTATTTTTGAAGATGAACACTTTGTGACATTTACTTCTTATTTGCTCAGAAAATAAAATAAGCATATTCAGTGCATAATCAACAACTATATGTAGTGAAAGATAGCTCCCAAATCTAAAAAACAAGACAAAACAAAACTCAAAAGAAAATCAATTGAAAAAATATTTAACAACAGGACACAAACCAGTTGACAAAAAGAACCCATCACCAAATTATATTTCCACTGACAGAAATTTAAAAGCCAGACCTGCTATTTCTATATCTGAATAATAGTTTCCAAATAATACCCTGATGACAGTCAATTTAGTTTTGGGTAAACAAAACAAATTCCTATTCAGTTAAACAACTTAGTTTCTGCACCTCATCCATGTTCATCTTAAGTGACTTTAACACACACACACACACACACACACACACACACACACACACACTCACACACTCAGCTTCCAGGTACCCATAAATGATTAAAGCTAAGCAACCAGAGACTTGATCTTGCCAGTCATTGCTGGGATCCAATTCACTTGAGCCTACCAAGATCACAAGAGTCATCAAAATTTTTGTTTGTTTGTTCAGTAATTAGAATAAATACTAAGTAGCTAGTTAACCAATATATCATCAGGAAACATTTCTCACTATTGTTTTATGATTATTCTACAACAGAGGAAGAAAGTGTGGATCATACTGTTTGAAGCATCCGGTTTGCAAAGGCATGGCTGAGGTGAGCCTGTATATATTGTTCAAGTATGTGATTGCCTCAGGCAATACTACACTGAAGGGTTTTAGGGCTGGAAGGAATGTGCAGGCCTCATAATTTGAACTTTTCATCTTACTGATGAGAAAAAAATGTGGTGAAGTGACCTGCTGGGGTTCAACCCAGATTTTCGTCCATCAATCAAGTGTACTTTGTTATTGTATGAAGTGAAGCCGTGAGTTTTATAGGGTTTTCGATTCTAATTTTCTGGGTTTTGGAAAGAAAGAAATCTAAGCAGCTGCGACTCTGCCTCTCGTCAGGCCTGCTGTTTGGGGGCAGACTGAGCAGACATCTCACTTCATGCCGCAGACTTTCCATTTCACAAGCAAGGCAGCTCGGCCGGTGAACCCAACAGATGGCCCCTGATGCTTTATTTCCTCACTCACCCAAGGGCAATCTGAATCTCCACTCCTGCACTGTCAGGAGAAGCTGTCCCCATGGTTTGCATACAGGGATGTGCTTTCATGAAGCATTCACAACATATTGAGCACATGCTGTGTGCCAGGCATAGTGCTAGGCCCTTCAGCAAGAACAACAGTAGCAAAGGACAGGGTAGAATAAGTGACACCCTAAAGCAGTGGTTCTCAACCTCCCTAATGCCGCAACCCTTTAATACAGTTCCTCATGTTGTGGTGACTCCCAACCATAAAATTATTTTCGTTGTTACTTCATAACTGTAATTTTGCTACTGTTTTGAATCGTAATGTAAATATCTGATATGCAGGGTGTATTTTCATTGTTACAAATTGAACATAATTAAAGCATAGTGATTAATCACAAAAACAATATGTAATTATATATGTGTTTTCTGATGGTCTTAGGTGACCCCTGTGTAAGGGTCATTCAACCCCCAAAGGGGTCACAACCCACAGGTTGAGAACCTCTGCCCTAAAGGCACTTACATAAAGTTAAAATTAAATTACATTTATTGCATCCACATATTATATAGGTCTTGCAACTACATTCAAAGACTTTGTAGATTCATACAAAAATGATCACCAGCCAACTGAATTTTCATCAGCTTCCCCCATGTTTTCTAGTCACAAAGATGTCACCGGAAGCAACTGGAAATAATTTAGAAACCTGGCTTGGTGGCCCCTTTTACTATCTACTAGCCGAATGACCTTGAGCAAATTTCCTAATCTCCCTGATCATCAATTGCTCTTCCCTTCAGCAAGCCTGATAGGATCTATCTTACAGCTTTGTCAGAAGGACTAAGAGATGCATGAGTGCAGAGTGGCTAAAAAGCAAGTGACTTCCTCTCTCTGGGCTCACTGTCTTTGCTTATAAAATTAGGATAGTAGAATCCATTTCATGCAATTGCTGTGAAAATTAAATAAGAAAATGACACATTCGATACTAAATACATTCATGTTGTTCTATGAACATATCATATGAACTATAAAATCTTAGATAAAAGTAAAATACTATTAACTGTTACAGTTAAGCTCAATAAAAAAATAAATAAATAAAAATAAAAAAAGAGTATTGGACCACAATGATTCCGAGGTGGTACCTTTACATCTCAAGCTTTCAGGCTCAACGCTATTTTGGAAGTTCAAATAAATGGCTCTGCGTTGGCTGTACGGCCGTATTCCTCTCAAGCTGAACGGATGTTTTGGAAACCCTCCTCTCATCTTCTCTTTCTTTTTAGATCACTTCTCAAGACATAATTCTTTTAAGGACCAGCTCTAAATATTTATGTTAGTCCTGTGTGTATGTAGAAAAAGAAGGGGAAATGACGCCAAAGGTTTCCATGTTAGTATATGCTTATTCTCATATTATTTAAACAGTCGGAATAATATTTCCCATCCTTGAAAAGTCACGTCCTCAAGATTAGTTAGGGAATCTGGAAACTGAAGGATTATCTAGGTAGAGGGGAATTACCTACCAGAATTTAATATTACAAAAAGAAGACTCAATACTGTTTTCTTTGGGTTTGAATGCACCCACTATTAATGGGTGCTGAAAAATTCCTGCTCCATTGGAAATTGAACATTAGGATATCTCTTTTTAAATGGTTCAATTCAGGTAAAAAAATCCATTGACTATTTTATTTCATTCATTCAAATTGCTATTTGCAAAACAACCAGATGTTTTATTGTTAGAATTTACTCAGTTTCTGTTTATACAACGGTTTGCATGTGGAGACAAAACTTAATATCTCATTTGGTGGAAGAAAATGAATCTGACTAAAATATGAGCCTTTTTCAAATCCAGACTTATTCCGTCCATAGTAAGCAAGAGTGTGTGTGAAGCATAGGCATTTAGCTTAACTCTGCATGAAGAAAATGACTATCCGTTCTTTTAAAATATTGGTGTTTTAATTTTTGAAATTTAAAAAAAAGGAGGAGGGGAGAAGAGGAGAAATTGGAGGAGAATAAGCATCTTGTTGCAAAGTATGGAAAGACGCAAATGAGAATCAGGTGAAATTTTCAGCTAAAGTAATCCTAATATGCACTTCTGTGCCTGTTGCATATTTAGAAGACAATTACCTTGGGTTTCCCATTTCCTAGGGGAGCTATATTCTGACTTAGCTGTCCTGGAAACACCCAGGTCTGTTGTGTAATATTGATGAACCTGAGTTTGGAGCTGCTAGCACTGTATATCTCTGTATGAATAATAGGACACACATAAATGATTAAAACAAGGCAGCCAGAAACCCGATCTTGCCAGTCATCTCTGGGATCAAATTCATTTATCAGCCCACCAAGGTCAGTGACCTCGATTACCCAGAGCCCAGCTACTAAAATGATTCATTGATCCATTCTCTCATTTCACTCATTTAATTGGGAGTGGGGGAAGTGAAAATATTTTCAATGAATTGACCTGTAAACAACTGTACTTAGCCTGCTGTATCCTCTAAAACACTTATTAATGGTAACGAGGAGCATCCATAGGCCCCACAACAGAGAGGAGTAAACAAAGAAACCATAGCTTTTCTTAGACATTTTCCTCACATTAAATAACTCGGAATCCCAAGGTT